ATCAGAGTATTCATTCTAATCGATGTGTAGCACAGTAAAGCCTTCATAAAACAGAAGCTATTCACATGTCTCATTTCATCACATATCCTAAAAATAGGATTATTAGTTCTCATTTCAAGATAGTGGGCCACCCCTTTGGCCAGATTCACGCCCAGAACTGCTCGTGTGCAGTGCAAATATTGCCTAATAATTTGGAACCATTTATGCCAAACTCCATAGAGCTGTCATGACTTTATAAAGAATAAATGGATAATGAACAGACAATACGTAAAGGGTTGCAGAAATCCAGGTAATTCCACAAATGTTTTCTTGCAGTGGCATATGAAATTAGCTGGAGAAACTGTTTGCATTGCCACAGCAAAAAGTCACTTTTTTTTTTCTAGACTGCTCTAAAAAAGAAAAGGAAAAAAAAAGTCAAATTGTTTTGGCATTGCAGGGTTTTTTTTTTTTTTATACACTTTTTTTTTTGTTTTTTACATAAAGTCCTTTGTACTTTGCCGAGTCGTTCCCAGTACAACCATGAGATCTGCTTTACAACTATGCAAGTCCTGCTGTAGCCTTATAAAAATATCTCTCGTTCTACTTGGCATTGTTCAGTTAAACTATTTCCTCCGATTTAAAATTGTAGCACAGGGTGTATTTTAAGCATTTCAGTTGCATCAGCTGTTGGGTACTATTTTAAGGTCTGCCTCAAGTGAAAATACAGGGTAGTGATCTCAACCGTCTATAAGTGACTACTGGCAGACCTTAAAATACCAGCTCTGCTTACAGTGTGGGAAATGCCTTGGATGAATAGCTTTCAGAAGCCACCGCAGCTTTGTTTTCATATAGTTCTGAAGGACGTCCCAGTCTCCAGCAAAGTGGCGGGGTAGTAAAAAACCCAATTATTGTGAAGCAGCTTGATTTTCCTGTGTTTGCTTCATAATCTGTCAGCTTGCCATACAACGGTAGAATTACATTCCCAAAAAATTGTTTTTAGAATATTCGTTCAACATTCTAATTGTTAATGAGGTCAAAATGACTGTTTCAACCACATTGACAAAAAAGATTGAAGGAGCAAGATGGAAAAGTTTTCTTGGACGAACAAAATTCTAACCGTGAATGGGGTTTTTGTTCAGAAAAACTTAATTTCCATAATTCAGTGTTAAAACCAAACAAATGACATTTGTCAAGTCTCTGATGGCATTATTGAATGTTCTGACAAGATTTTGCGTATGAAGATCTACCTGTGTATGGCTAGCTTTAGTTTACACTTGCAAAGTGCCCTTAGCAAATAAAGTTGTTAGCTGGTTACAGACTGAAAAGTTTATAGATCTCTGTCTCCTTGCTCTTCTGGAATCCCAGACGCACAATGTGCAATTCCCGTCAGGTTTGCCTTTAATGTTCCCCTCCCCGGAAGCATCTACCTTTCCTTCCCTCCTCATTCCACTCCTCTTTTTGGTAGTAAACTGAATTACCGAATATTTCTATGTGTGGAGGATCATGTGACCCTCTCTCTTATATGACCGCACTAGCATTTGGTGATTGGCCCAGCACTGTTAAATGGGGTGCGAGAACAGCATTCAACCATGTGTAAGCTCCAAGTAGAGAGATTCAGAGCTTACGAAGGGCTGTTGATTCTTGTTGACCGGAGTAATGGGAGTGAAAGGATGGCAATATGTGCTGCCGGAGGGAGCTGAATTAAGGTGAACCTCTTGTTATTGTATGATCAAAGCAAAGGTTCTAGGTTATTGACCGACGGGAAGAAAGAAACTGCCCTTAAAATGAATCGGATGTTTCTATCAAACACGACGTGATTTGTTGCTCAGTGCAACATCTGCGAGTATTGCGTTTGGTCCACCCAAAATATTTTTTTTTTTCAGCGTATTCATTAATGCTGGAAAGTTAAACCGATTAACAGTTTCTGTGGTTGAAACCGGGCCATCACATACAAGTGATCAGCAGCTCTACAGACTTGAAGTGGTTAAAGTATATCTAAAGTTTATATA